AACCTAAACAAGTACTTTTATTGATACCATCTTCTTTCATGGGACGTTTTTCTTGTGATCAATGTATAATTATGCATATATTTCTATATTTTACCCAAGCCAACATGGGACAGATTTAGAGTAAGTGAAACTGTGTTACAGCGGAGTTTATTCCTGAAGAGCATTTTTCATTCATTTTCATTACAAAAAAAGAAAAGACTCAGTAAATGTGAATCCTAAGGGAACACAACAGAATCAACAGCAGAGGGACTCTGTGGATTTAAAGATAGAAGTCTAAAGAAGAAGGTTTAAAAAGGAAAGGAAAGGTAGACAGATGGAGGTGGAGTACAAAGTCAGAGACATTCAGTCTGGAGGCTCACTGAGACAAGGATGGATGTTAGTCACCTTCACCTACTTGCTTCATCAACGTCACCGAGTGCCGCGAATGAGAGCCATTAGCCTTGAGTGGTGGCTTTACACAACATGCTGTACTGAGCTGGCACGCAAACGCTCCACACTATAGTATACAAACTGCGTATGACGTCAAAATCAATAATAAATACAATCATAGTTTCAGAATGTGTAACGTATAATGGTTTGTTGTGTTAGGATTAAATAAGGAATCCACAATATCGACAGTAAGATATCATTTGTTATGCCACGTGTCATGAAATAATGTATTCGTATTTTGAAGATGTGGACCAGCATCACTTTTATGACGATGAACGATGTGACCAAATGACTTGAAAAAGTAAAAAGTAACAGGAAATAACGTTTTTATTTGGTACCTTCCGCCTCTTTCTGGCCTGCGGGTGGTTCTGTCCGTCCTGAGCCTTCCCCAGCAGGTCTGGAAACACCAGGGGTTTGAGGGAACGCGAGCGCGGCGTTCTGGGATAGCGAAACGGGTCCATCATGCGGAAGTCCCTCCCGTAGCGCACGGTGCAAAGAGAGCGCGAGCGAAGGCGCCCTGCAGAGTGCAGGCTGTTAACACCGATCATGCTCCAGAGACGCTGGACTTTCAAAAATCTGCCCCAATGATTCAGTCTTTAATTTCTTAAAAGACCTGCAGGAAAAATAAGTTGATCCAAAGAGATGAAGAAAGAAAGAAGTGGGATGGTCTGATCTGGATGCTGTCCAGTGTGCCAACAGACAGCTGGAGGTGAATTCAGCTGTTACTGGAAGCAGCCGGTGATCAGTGGAGACATCAGACTGCTGTCAGTGACGATCAGCAGGCATCAAACCCCCAACGGTCGCGCCCCCTGAGTGTCTTGATCAACGCCCACCAGGCAACACCGGGGTGCCCACATGACGCTAAATTATTGATGAGGCAGTCATGTATTATACATGTACAGAAACCAATTATTTCGCTGCGACTTTAAAGGAGACGAGGCGACGATAAAATCCAGAGCTTCTCCTCCAAATGCGACCGCTGAGGAAGCGATCTGTGAAGCGGTTGAGTGTGGAGGTGAACGACGCACGGTCTCAGCGGGATGCGAGCCTCTGCCAAGTTACCCCAAAGGTGACACCTGTCCAGCTGCCACCTTTTAGCGACGACACAACCCTTAAAACCTGCACACACACACACACACACACACACACACTGACACTCTCGCAGATGGCAGAGGTGTGAACGGACAGCCAGCGTGAAACAGATGGCGCAAATGCGTAAAAATCAAGAAGTAAAAAAAATAAAACCACACACAGTGAATACAAACGCACAGTTCGGCTAAAAGAAACACACACACACACACACACACACACACACACGCGCGGTAGAGGGAGATACGGAAGGGGTGGGAGGGAAGGACGGCCACCTTCGGACTTCAGAGCAGAGAATCCAAAAGAACCAGATCAATTTCGTCACAAGCCCCAAAAATGCGATGTAAATGAAAGAGAACACTACAAAAAGAAGATTGTAGAAGAATCAGAGATGGGAACGTTCCTGCTGCTCCCTGCGTAAAATGGATACCATCAGTTTGACAGTCAGATTATCTCATTCCTTCTTCCTCCCGATCTCTCTTGTCCATGTGTGGAGGTCCGCTGTCATCATGGTTTTGCACCCTCACCCCCCCCCCCCCCCCCCCACCCACCCCACCAACCCTTTCCTCTGTGATCCACTTCTCTCAGTCTGTATGTCCTCTCAGACTCTCTTTGGTTTCAGTCTCTCCACATCGTACGTTCAGCGGTTGTGGGTGTTTTGGTGGGGGGGGGGGGGGGGGGAGAAAAAATGCCGCTGATGTCTCTCATGCCTTCCTCGTCTTAGCGAGTGTGCGTGTGTGAGTAGATGTGTGGATGCCTCGTTTCTCTATCTGTTGCAAACGTCCAATCCCGCGCTTCCCTTCTCCCTGC